CATTAGTTTCATGGATATTGGTAAGGATTCTTAGATGAATGTTGACTATAAACCTCAAAATTAAGCATGCAAAATGAAGAAGTGTGATACTTAAAATAAATGAAGATGCAATGAGAGTAATCAAATATGAATCAAATAGTTTTTGCTCACGGTGTGAGTTAGTCTTTCTTTGTTTATACATGAGTGAAACAAAAGTTTTTGTGCACACCTAGTTGATGAGGTAGTTATCCTTTGAAAATCAATCATTGTATGAGATAGTCCTTTACTTTATGCAAGAGTGAAAGAAAGGTTTTCGCGTACATTTAGTAGGTAAGGTATTCTTCCTTTGAAAATTAAAGTTTATGGTCACACTAGTAGGCAATTAATATTCCTTTGTTTTGATTTAATGCAAAACAGAATCCCAGTTTGCCTTATGATGTGCAATTAATATATTCTTGAATTTTTCTGATTTTTTGACAATTAGATAAACACACGATTATTTTAATTGGATAGATAAGATGAATTCAAGTAAGATGCAACAAATCAAATTAGCAACAATAATTTTTAATTGCTAATTATGCGAACACAAAATGCTAAAGCAATTTAAGATAGTAGATTCACTATGAGATTAAGCTCTGATACCAAATAATATGGGAGAGAATTTGCAAGATTATTTTGGCTCCCAGAACCCTCACACAAACATATGAAATTAGAAATTCGACTTCTTCATTAACCCTCCCTACTTGAACCACACTCAACAAATTGAATGTAAACCAAAGTAACTAAAAACAATGGAGTAGAAAAGATGCCACGACTTACCCAATTAAGTTGATTCCGATTCCCTAACTCAACAAGATGGTCTGAAGCAATCTCGCTTGAAGAACACTCGCTCTCACAAATTAGCAAAGCTAATTAGAAAGAATAAACTCAAAGTTATTGAATAATCTGATTCCTTGAAGTTGTAAGTTGTGATTACAACTCTAATAGGGAAGCCTTTATATAGGCTTTTATTCTTTGAATCCTACTCGGAATATAAAACTAAATTCTATTTAAATTCTTAATACTTTTTAGACTAGGAGATAACAAAATTTATAATTAAATAACGTATCTTAATCTTGACTTAAAAAATAATTAAATAAAAGACTAAAATTACTTGAATAGGACTCCTCTCTCTCTTAGCCGAAAGTTGTTCTTATTTGGACTTTAGCCTCCTTAATGCAATTGAACTTGATCTCTTGTTATAACTCCTATTTGGCATCAAATTCCAATGAATTACATATGAATCACATGCTAAAATTAAGAAGAAGCTTGCTTGGATAGAGGTTTTGATGTGGGTGGACTCTCCCTCTTGGCAGGTTTTGCTTTTCTTGCAGGTCCTAATTTCTTTAAGACTTGTATTCACTTGATCCTTGTCCTCTCACCTATATGCAACTTATTATCACAGTTTCAATACAAAAAGGATTCATACTTCGACTCTGAGTACGAAAGGGAGCCAGTGAGGAGGTTCCTCACTCATGGGAGTTTTAGCGTGTACAGTCTCCCCCTCTCGCGCATGTGCATACCCCTTCATGCACACAAGGCTGCTTGATTGTGCGGCCTTCCTTGGCCGAAAGTATCCTTTGCTGAAAGGCCCATTACTTGCCTTTTTTGGTCCTCTAAGCTTTCTTGGCTTGTTTATAGGCTCATGGGTCCACCCGTTTAAAGGACCTTCAAATTGATCTTCTTAAACTAAGCTTAAATGCTCTTGAATTTTATACGTTTCTTCTTTGGATAGTTTAGGAAACTTAGGATTTGGGGCCTTAGTTTCATTTTTGAGATGATTCAATTTAGGAAACAAGGAAAGTTAAGAATTATTTTTCTTTTTAGATTTAGCTTTGCATGGAATTTTGCTGGAGAAGAAATCCCCTTCCTTATGGGAAAAGACCTCCGTCCACGAGTGTTTCCTAGCTCACCCCTGAGGCATGTTGCTACATGTGCATAAACGTGTGTGATTTCTTGCTGCCATGTACCTACGTATAATATTTAAACCTTCAATAAAATTGAATTCTACTATATAATGTATCGAAGTATTTTAGGAAAGCATTTTCTTGTAATTTTGAATTTATATATGTATTTTGAAATTCAAAATGTTGAGGAAAAATCACATAAAAACACCCCACACACATGCGTGGTTTTTTCTCTTCTTGGTGGGAAAATCCCCCACCCGCAGGTAAGGCTTGCACGTGGGACATGTTTTCCCTACACATGTTTGTTTGTATGCAGGCACAAGAGATCCTGTGTGTGGGATGCTTGCTGAAACTTCCCCATGCTGCGAGCTACCGGCCAATTCCCCAACATGTAGGGAAACCTCTCCAAATTTTAACATAACTAGGGGAAAGGAAAATCCACCTAGTTGCAGAAAGAATACACACTGCAGGCTCCAGCCCCACGTTTTTTTTTCCTCCTTACTCGCATAAATCCCTATAAGAATGCAAGTAATTTGTCGTGACTATTCCACCGATGGGACACCACTCACACTGGCACCCGAGGCTCTACAGGCGAGCCCTTTTCTTCCCTTGCCAATGTGCTTGCTAGCTAGTCCTCCTTTCAGTTCTGTCGACCACCCAAAGCCTCCAACAACCTGGATGCATTGCATGTGATTCGAGGGCCAAGGATGCTGTGATTGGGAGGTATAAAA